TGTCGGCCGCGGCGAGCTCGGGCTCTCCGTCAACGGTGGGCTCGGGCTGATGCTCCACGCAGTGGGGAGATGGGGGGCTGGGCACTGGGTCTGGTGTGGCACTGGGCGAGATCCCCCTCTGGACAGACGGTGAACGGGGATCCGTGTCTCGCCAGAGTCCACTCCACAAAGGCGGCGAAACTCGCTCAAGGGCCTTCCTCGGACGACGGCGCTCTGTATGCCGGGGTTAGACTGGCGTCATAGAACGCACAGAGCGCGTCGTCCGGGTAGCTGGAGAGGTTGGCGAGGACCAGAAACAGTATGGTGTGGCCCTCGAGCGATTTTTCCCCCTTCTCCAGCAGGAGGAGGAGGTATTCAGGGTGGGCGAGGGGATCCATAAGAGAACACTATGGAAACAAAACACTGAGAAAAAACGGAAACAAACACAGAGGGAACACATGGAGGTAACTGTTTTGGTCCGGTATTCTGTCACGATACACGATACTGGAAACGATAGCATGGAACGAGGAGACGTGGAGTAAACTTCAAACTAACAGACTTTAATTAACATCCAAGGAACCAGGAACACACACGTAGCTGGGAAAGACGAACATTCAATACCAGACAAAGAAACTTAGAACAGGACTCAAGAACACACACGTAGCTGGGAAAGACGAACATTCAATACCAGACAAAGAAACTTAGAACAGGACTCACTATAAATACACAGGACTTGACGAGGGGATGACGAGACACACCTGGAACTAATGAGCAATAAAACACATGGGAAAACTAGGTCAGGGCAGGCACATGGAGAGGGAAAAACACACAGATAAAGTCCAGGGGCGTGACAATGTGTTAAGTGATAAGCAATTAAATTTAAATGTTTTTGTATATATGCAAATATTATTGGGTATCATTAATTCAGCATATAATTAATTAAATTTTACTGTATATCAATTGATAGCCCTAGTTTTAACTAAGACATATTTGTGCCCAGTTGTTATAAATGTGAAATTAATTTAATGACCTTATGTTCTAATACAAATATGACCCTGGACCATAAAACCAGTCATAAGGGCCAATTTTTTAAAATTGAGATTTATACATCATCTGAAAGATGAATGAAATAAGTTTTGCATTGATGTATGGTTTGTTAGGATAGGACAATATTTGGCTGAGATACAACTATTTGAAAATCTGGAATCTGAGGGTGCAAAAAAATCAAGATATTGAGAAAATCCCCTTTAAAGTTGTCCAAATGAAGACCTTAGCAATGCATATTACTAATAAAAAATTAAGTTTTGATATATTTACAGTAAGAAATGTACAAAATATCTTCATGGAACATGAGCTTTACTTAATATCCTAATGATTTTTGGCATAAAAGAAAAATGGATAATTTTGACCCATACAATGTATTGTTGGCTATTGCTACAGATATACCCGTGCTACTTATGACTGGTTTTGTGGTCCAGGGTCACAAATGACATAAACTCTTTATTCTCTATAGCAAAAAAGAGCCAGAACTATGTGTCCAGTGTAACCTCAGCATGTAGCAATGAGATTTGAGAGATGCTTCGTACAGTTTCTCCTAGTGAATGCTGTCCAGAAAAAATATCAAGATAAATGGAATATTCTGAGGTCAATGTACAGAATGCTCAGAAGACTTATCTGTAGCAAGAGTACAACATCAGATGACACTCATAGACATAGGACACCTCAGTACAAAACAAGGTAGCGGACTTCAGAGTCTCTCTGAAAAAATGCAAAAAAAGCAATCAGTCTGAGAGGTTCGGTGAAGAAGGCCAATCCAGGGGTGAGCCGGGTCAAACATGCATTATGAAAGCAGAAGCTTTTGCCAGTATTACTGTGCCTCTGCACTTCTGTGCCAGGGAGTGCTTGAATCATCAATTAAAAGTCATTTATCACCTTCTCTTGGGTTAAGATGTCTTCATAGTGCTGATGCGTTGTCAGCTGTCTATAAGGAGTTAGTCTAGTGAACATTCGCCCTGGCATGTCCTCTTGCCATCTCACATGAAATTCATGGTTCTGACTTTAAAATGAAACTGCTCAAACTCTGATAGACAGAGGTATTGTGATAATGAAATACTGCTGGATCAGTTTGAGCATGGACAGTATAATCATTTCCTGAGGCCAGTGAGGAGGCGGATGGCCTCAGGGAAGAAGTTGTTATCATGGCAAGATGAACTTGTGTGCATGACTAGCATGTCTGTCCAAGGAAGGAAAGGTGAATAGGTGATGCCCATGATGTGATGGGCCTGAGGATCTTTCGAGCCCTATTTGAGGTTCACAAGGGTGTAAATCTCTTCAGATGGTAGGTGTATCCTGGTCTTGCAGTAGTAGGAGGCAGAGGATTAGCATTGGGTTGGGAAGGTTACTTTTGAAATGTAATAGGTTACAAGTCACCCTATTTAAAATGCAATAAGTAGTGTAACTATTTCAATTACTTTAATGTAATGTAACTGATTACATTTAATTACTTTTTGATTACATTTCTAAATTTCTATTGAATGTTTTAAACGATTAATAATTTTCAAACATTTAAACCAGGCAGAGTTAACCAAGTGTTAACATTTTCATACATAAGTGTAATTTAATTCCACATTTTATTCTCAGTAGCTGTAATGGATTACAATTACATTTATTTTGTAATTAAATGACGTAACTCTGTTACTTGTAGCTAGTTACTCCACAACACATACACTACAGTTTAAAAGTTGAGGTTGTTTTGAAGGAAGTCTCTTATGGTCACCAAGGCTGTATTTATTTGATCAAAAATACATTCAAAACAGTAATATTGTGAAATATTATTGCAGCCATTACTCAAGTCTTTAGCGTTACATCATCCTTCAGAAATTATTTTAATATGTTGCTTTATTGCTCAAGAAACATTTCTTACTAGTATTAAAGGTGCAGTAGGAGATCTTAGAAAATGCTAACTTTAGCCTGGTAGCACTGAAAGCGAACGTCCCACCCTCCCTGCAATCGCCGTCCAAAGCCACGCCCCCTGAACGTATGAACGCTCACAGACCAGAATACCAGAGACAACATTACTACAATAAGATACATCAGCGGTTCTCAATTCCAGCCCATGTTCCGAAGTGAAGTAAACTTCAACGGATTTCCCCTGCTCAGGGAGTAGGGAGCAATGAACACTGTGTAGGGATCATATCAATCGGAACACAGTTAATGCATGTAGCTCACTTCTAACGAGCTGGTGATCTGAATCTGGTGTGTTAACTAAGCGAGACATGCAAAATATGCAGAACGGGAAGACTGGAATTGTGAACCGCTGGGCTACATCATGTGTCATTCACCAGTGAGAAAACTTTAAAAGTACTAGACAATACTAGGAAGGAAGATCGGTTTGTTGAGGTTTGCCACTGCAAGGAGGATTAGCTGTCCTTCCTGATACCTGTCTTAGGTGTCAGTTTATTGTGCAAATAATGATAGATGCTATATTAAATAGAAGTAACATGCTATTTGTACTAATGTTTAAACAGCAGTGGTGGGCAGGGCTAGAGAAAATAGCCTTTGCCAACAAGGTTGTCTCAGTGTTTTTAAAGAAAGATTACACAAAAACAAACATTAGACACTAACAAACTTTTGTGAAATTTTGAAAGCTGTTGATGAAAGTACATTTATTCTGGAACATCAATCTATAATAGTGGATAATTTACCTAGGAAAGCTCACAGTGGGCTCATTTTTTGTTGAGACTGGATTGATAGAAGTAGTAGTGGAATGAATGTGTCATGTTACTATTTACTTGTTAGATTTTTTGTTACATCAACAACCTTGTTGTTACATGACCTTGAGAGCTCCCTACTTAGTATCTTTAAAATATGTTCGAATTATCTTGATGCTAACACAAGGATATTAAGAATTGGCATTTCACACAAGCACACCCACACACAAAGTAGGCTACAACAAAGGTGTGTTGTCGATAGATGGTCTTTTTTGACCGTCTGTTAAATCCATAATTTTAACACTTTGACATTTGTGCATTTGTGTCAGGTGGCTCTGTCTCTCTTAGTATCCCACACATTTGTTGCACAAACTAACAAGTCTTATTTTCTATTGGCAAATACAGCACGTTAAATGGTGTGATTTTTCACCAACATCTCCCTGTTAAACTAAAGCAGCAGCTATATGCACAGTGCTACAATTTTTGTTACCACCTGCTTAAAACAAGTGGTAAACGGAATTTTATATAAAAGGGGACAATTATGCAGATTTTTCTAGTGATAATGGCAGCAGTGATTCATTGAATTATGATAAAATGAAGGAGAACAGCATTATAACTGGGCTTATATCCAGAAACACAATGTAGTCAAGTGCACTTTGTGCATTTTAAAGAACAAAATCAGGTGACTCATAAAAACCACTTTCTGCACTGTAGGAATATTTTTCTTCCCATACTTGTACTTGGATTTACATTATATTATTTCAGTCTACCCTACAATCAGGGATTAATATCGATCTATCTATCCATCCATCCATCCATCCATCACAGTGGGATAGATAGATAGATGGATGGATGGATGGATGGATGGATGGATGGATGGATAGATAGATGGATGGATAAAATGCATTTACCAGTTCTTGCATCATGAACATAAACTTTATTAAACGTGAATGAGTAAATTAGATGTATTAATTCACATGAGATCATACATTTAGAGATCATAAATCAAAAGTCATTGAAGACCCTCATACCCTCTTTGAGATCAGAAAAAGCCCTGAGGTACATAAAATAAAAAGGCCAAGTTCAGCCAATGGCCCACACTAGCCTAGTGAGCAGAAGATTTGTGTTTCTTTGAATTATGTGTGGACAGTTTTATGGGCAAGAAAGGGAAACAAGTGGCAATGTTGGATGACCCACAGCAGCTCTATGTCTTTACATTTATAGTAAATAAAACAGAGCACATAAATGTGCTTAATGTAAGGCTGCAAGGTTACCAAAGTGCTTACAGAATGACACAACAGCTTTAGCATGGTTTAGATCAGACTATCCGAGGGCATTTTCCTTTTCTAAAGTTTCTTGTGACCTCAGTACATTGCCTGAGTTTTATGGTTATGAGTATTAACTGGACCAGTGAGACAGATTCAGCGCCCCTGTTGGCAGGGTTTGAGTTTAGGGCCTGTTATTAATGCATATTTTAAGAAAATTAGACGTGCGACAGTGTACTGTTTAGTTTTGTTCCTTTGTCCAACCTTTATGCTAATATTTGACTTGATTTATTAATGCAACTTACTGTATCTGAAATTACCAAGTCAAGTGTATTGAGTGCTTTTATCTTTTCTGTTTTAATATAGTAAATTGAGTTGGTATTAACCTCATAATAGGTGGCCACATGCCTGAAACAGAAGGTACACACTTTTTTTTACTTTATAACTTTATAAGCTTGAAAGAAAACAGGAAGTTCCTTTTTTGCCACCCGGCCCACAAACAAATTTTACTTTGACACCTCTGTCCAAGAACTTTGTAATCCCATTAGACCTCAACCAATGGATTTGTTAATGTGTTTGCTGTACTCCTGTTACATATTGAATTAATCTGATACTGTGCCAGGTACATTAAAGCACTGTGTAAATCGTAAAGAGGATTTATGATGATTTATGAACTCTTTGTGACAGCTGTAATGTGAAGAACCTGCAGAGGCGGCACGTGTGTATCTCACGCCTGGATCGTCCACAGAACTGGGGGGAAAACTGTGCAGAAGTCCGCTATGTTATCCTTATTCTGGCACCTTCAAAGATGGTAATATAATCACACACACACACACACACACACACACACATATATGTTGGGTTTCCAAGTTTTATGGGGACATTCTGTAGGCGTAATGGTTTTTATACTGTACAAACAGTATTTTCTGTCCCCTTACCCTGACTCTTCCCCTCACACAAAACTTTTTGCTGTTTTAGATTGTCAAAAAGGATCATTCTGTCTGATTTATTTTATAAGCTTGTTTCCCTAATAAGGGACCAAAAAATGTCCTCACAAGGTCACAATTTGCTGGTATTATAATCCTTGTGGGCACATTTCATCCCCATAACATATACCAGGGCCACACACATTAGAGGGTGACACGGGAGTGGATTTTCAAACCTCTCCCGTCCCACTCCCACAAAAAGAAAATCCTGTCCTGTCCCAATCCCACGAAAAAACTGGGGGAAAATCCCGTCCCATCCCAATCTCGAAGAGAATGACTCCCATTTCCTCCCACTCCTGTGTTGTGTTTTTTTGGCCGGAATCTGTCAGTTACAGAAAAAAAAATACAGTACAGATCACAGCATGCCCACTTTAGCTGAATAAAAATCCAAAATGTAGTTTTTTGTTATTTTATTGAACTGAAAGCCAATTGCATTTTGAACTTCATTTTGAATCTGAACTTCAATGCATTGCACACACATTAAATTTCATGTAAATCATCCATGCTAACACACACGTTTTCTATTTGAATTTTTTCATTTGATAGTAGACATTTCAATCTCTATAGATTTATTTTTCATACACAGAGTTTCGAAGTTTCTCGCTCAAGTTCACATGACCGAGACGGCAGAAACCGCATCTTGTTTGCTTTAATTATTTTACAGAAGCGCTACGTTTCGTTGCTATTCTGAGTGCACACAAATAAACATAGAGTCTTTACAGATTCGAAAGATGTATTACTTTTATCTGTATGACCAAAAATTACGGAGTATTTTAAGAGCGAGTGAGCGCTTCGGCACCTCCATCTGTCCTGCTGCGAGCAAGCTGCTGTTCAGCTTCCACACAGACACTTCAATACAATAGCGTACATTTCTCTAGGTTAACATTAGATTGAGCGGCCATGTAAAGTTGTTACTACATACATCTTTCAGATGATGAGCCATATTTGAGGTCGATGAATGATAGGCAAGCGTTTGGATTTCCTGCCCGATGTACTCTATTACCACATAGACCAGCCGTTAACGATCTGTTTGTCACGGACTGCGTACGTCATTCACTTAACCAGCCGCAACAAAGCAAACAGGAGGAGAGCATAAAGAGACAGGGCAACTAGAATTGTGTTCAAAATTAAAATATACAGTTTAAATCTTTTCTAGAGACCTAGGTTTTTCAAACCAACAAACCTAGTAGTCCTGGCATCAAATTATGAGGAAAAATGGTATTATAAAACGGATAGTTCCGGTCCTTTATTCTGATTGGCTGAGCCACGTTCGAAGCTGTTGTAAATTACTCTACAAACATACACCTTTGTTTACGTTTGTGAGTTGCTTGTCAACCACAACTGATTCTGAGGAACTACATTGTTTGGTGTTTTTATTAATATTACACTTTATTTGCTCTGTTTTATTTTGTGAAACCGTACTACGTATATGGAATAACCGTTTTATAAAAGCAATAAGCCCCGTGAAGCCGTGGTTTACAGTGAATTTATAACAGCTAAGGGGGTTATAAATTCACTATAAACCACGGCTTCTTGGGACTTATTGCTTTATTTTACAACTTTAATATATTAAATTAAATTATTGTTTGTGTGCAATTATACATTTAATTTCTTAATAATATTGTTATTACAGGTACTTACTATAGGTTTTGGATTCGGATTTGGTTTAGGATTAGTTGCATGTAAATATTAACAATTTACTGTTATTACTATAGTAAGTACATATAACAAGTAACAAGACAATAATGTGTTACCTAATTTTTAACACTCTTACTGAATTTGATATGATTGCCATTTCATTCTGCTTTCTAAGGACAGGTTAATATCATGAGAGTAATTACAGTTTTATTCTATTGTCAGTCCTAGTTTTTAACAGTAAGAAATAAAAACAAAATCTGAATATATTAGTAAAAACAATATTTATTTCTGTGTTTGTGTCTCAGTCCATAAATAGTCTGTATTTGTGCACATTTTGTCATTAATATATAGAAAAATATTTTTCAGTAATAATAATAATATTTTTATTTTTATTTAAAAAAAAAAATTAATTATGGAGAGAATATATTTTTAGAATATCACACTTTTTCCACATACATGGTTTAAATGAGTACTTATTCATTAAAATATATAGTTGCCTTCATATTTCAGGAAAAGGATAATCATGTTTGGGAGTCCTTGGCATCAAAAAGTAAAAAAAAAAAAAGAGACATGAAATTACTGGGGTATTTAGATAAAAATTCTGGGAAAATAGACTTGAGCAAAAGTGTCTGTTTGCTCTCTTTTTAAACAGTTTGCTAATTTTGAGAAACAATTGAGATAATAAAATCAGGTTTAGGCACACTAATGCTATCATGTTCAAGTCTTAAAGTCCTGCTCCTGTGTTTCTTGTTCCCCCTGCAGTCTCCCTGTAAAGTCTTTGGGGCCCCTGGCTCCCTCCAAGACCATTTTGTGTATCTCTTTGTGTCTGTGTTTACATCATAAATCTGTGTGTTTGTGTGTATGTGTTTACATCTGTTTACATCTAATCACTCTCTCTATTTCTTTTTCTCTTTCTCTCTCTCTCTCTCTCTTTGTTCTAGCATGCACTCATCTCTTTCTGTCCTCTGCAGTTCAGTACAGCAAAGTGTTTTTGCTTCGTAATCTTCTGCTCTTCTCACAAACTAAAATCACATTGCACACACACGGACAAACACATATTCTCATTACATTAAAAGCTGGATTGTTATGCCGGCACATGTAGATACATCCTCTTTTCTTGCGTTGTGTTTTAAAACAATAGACGGCACAAATGTTATATAACTTAAAATACCAATTGGACTCAATCCATAAGATGATCAAACATTTCCTGCTCAGAAGATGAAGTGATTTCTGGATTACTACATTGAATATTTCCTTTAATAGCAGTCGTAAATGAGTAACGACCGCCAAATCTCTGTATCTCTGATCTCTGTATTTGACGTTTCTCAGAAAAGCACTAAGACGGCGATGGAGCTGGGCAGGACGTTCGCCAGCATGTTCTCGGACATCTCTTTCAGACAGAAGCTGCTAGAGAGTAAAACCCAAGAGGAGTTCAAAGAGGCACTGCTCATCCAGAGGTACCACTTGACCGCTGCCAAGCGTAAAACCACGGCTGTGGAGGGCGAAGAGACAGACCCACACAGTCAAAAACCACTGAAGGTGTGTGCGCATCGCAGCGCGTGCGCCGATGCTTAAGGTTCAGTTCTAATGGCTTTAATGCGATTGTTTTCCACTATTCTCTCTAGAGTCCTCGTCCGTCGCTTTCTCTTTCTCCCTTTGCCTTTTGCTGTTTGACTTACACTCCAGTGATTAAGTTCTACTGAGCATGTAGCAGCTAATGAGAATTTATCTTGTTTGTTACTCCGGTTTGACGCACACACACAAAGTCCGATTCGGCATATGTGAGCATTAGACCACCCTGGCTGAGGTTAGCCGCCTGTAAAAGCCCTCTGTTTTCTTCTCTTTAAAGACAACAGCGGAGGCCCAAATAGTTGTGTTTTTGTTTTTTTTGCGTTTTTCACTCCATCACACATCTGAGGAATGGTAACCAGGTGGAGAGGATCATTACTTTGTGTGTGTGTGTGTGTGTGTGTGTGTGCATGATCACTTGCGCGTGTGCACACTAAAAGCTATTCATCTCTGGCAAACGACCAGGAAAGGTCTCTCTCCCTTTCTGTATCAGACACACGCTGTCATGATGAATGAGTGCGGCTCAGTAATGGAACACTTTAAGCTGTACGACTTATTTAAACATATCCCGAGACAAGGTTCTCTCTGACTGACAGAAAACAAGCTTGTCTGCCAAAAAGAGGCTAATGTGGGTCATTAATGTGAGATGGACAAACTGCTCCGCTGCCAAATTTTGACCTGTAAAGCCTATAAAAATTTGATTAATTCAACAAGACTCTATATTTGTCTGGGGACAAAGATACACACATATACACACCAGGGCTTCCTACCTCACCATAATTGGTCCTAACTACATGCTTAAAAAAATCCTGTAGTGTTTTTCTGTTTCTTTTATACTGTAAGGTTCAAATTGTTAACATTAGTTAATGGATTGGGTGTTATGAACTAAAAATAATTGATATTTTACATCATGTATTCATTATAATTTATAAATTTACTAATACATTATAATATTTAAAGTTTTGATCAAACATAAATTATCAACGAACAATAGAATAATTATACAGTACTGTTCGAAAGTTTGGGGTCAGTAGGTTTTTTTATTTTTTATTTTTAGAAATTAATACTTTTATTTAGCAAGGATGCATTAAATCAATCAAAACTGACAGCAAAGATATTTATAATATTACAAAAGATTTATATTTCAAATGTCTATTCATCAATATCAACTTTTCCAAAAAACATTAAGAAGCACAACTGTTTTCAAGTATATTAGAATGATCAGAATTTTAGAATGATATCTGAATGATCATGTGACACTGAAAACTGGAGTAATGATGCTGAAAAATCAGCTTTACATCACAGGAATATATTATATTTTAAAATATATTCAAATAGAAAACAGTTATTTTAAATTATTTATAATATTTCACAATATTTCAGTTAAACTGTATTTTTCATTAAATAAATGCAGCTTTGGTTAGTGTAAGAGACTTCTTTCAACAACATTAAAAATCTGGCAGACTCCAAACTTTGGAACAGTAGTATAAATTAACTTTTAATATTTATGATAAATGCTGTAAAAATTATACCTAATTCATTAACATCTTAACAAGCATCAAGTGAGACATTAATTCATTATCTGCTTAGAAAGATTTTTATTTGAGTAATTTGTCTTTTTAACAAATTCATTAAAATAACTTGTTTATCAAAGTTGTGAGATGAAACACATTGGATATGTGTAATGTGGTGTTTGGGTTTTGTCATGTTCATGTTTCCATGTCTTTTATTTTGTAATTGTTTCATGCTGTTTGTGTCATGTTTCCCTTGCCTCATGTCTCTCTGCCTTGTGTATGTGTCATGTTCTGATTGGTTGTTTTAGTCATGTGT